TAAAGGTATCACGGAAACGAAGGGATGGGCCAAATTAAAAGAATTGATTGGGCTAGTTAACTGCAGCAGGAACATGCCCTTAAGACACAGATCGCCCATGCTGTTGTTTGTGGCTTAAGAATGCCTTTAAGCAGTTTTCCACCCTGAGTGGACCAGGTGTTCCTTGCCCTCATTCCCGTAAACCCATAACCTTCCAGCTTGGGCATTAGGGCCATTATGGACATGTCACAGTGCTGCAGAGATTTTGTTTATGACCAGTCTTGGGGCCAGTTTATGGCCAGATTTTGGGAGGCTTGCACCCAACAGAAGTCAGGTAGTGTGATGCCTCCAGCTTGGTTCTTTTTGCTTAGGATTGTCTTGGCTATACCGGCATTTTTTAAAAAGTGTATATCTTATTTATTCAACTTAGTTGCAGTCTCTTACATCTTCCCCAAATGGTTTTATCTTCTCTCTTTTCGCCAGTTAGTCTTCCCTTCTCATTGCTTCTAGGGTCACATTGCCTGCTACATCCTCCCTTCTGTCATCTGTGACTTCTAAATTGTGAGCTGGGGGAACAAGTTTACCGTGATCAATAGGTAGCATTTGCAAGATCCATTTCAGAATGACTCTGAAGTTCATTATGATTTCTTCTTAGGCCTTTGGACTATTTAAGAAGTTGTTTTTGTCTTAAATTTTCGGTCTTGAAATTCTAGGTATCCTTTTGTTTCTGATTTTGGCCTAATTAAATGATCAGAGAACATAACTCTGTATGATAACAGTTTGTTATATTTGTGGCAACTAGTTTTATGGTCTAGTATATGGTCAGTTTTTGTAAATATCTGATGCATTCTAAAAGAATGAATATTCTTTCATTGTTAGTTACAGCATTCTATGTCCTGTACTCTTGTTTGTTTAAATCTTTTTGGTCTTTACTAAATTTTACATGCTTATTCTAATATCCCACTACAATTGCGGTTTTGTAATTTCTCCTTGTCATTCTGTCAGAGTTTTGTTTCTCTTGAGGCCTGATTATGAAACATTTAACACTTTTATATAATTTTTGGTGGATTGCACTTTCATCTACATGAACTATGATGCTTTTTAAAATTAGTTATAACTACACTAGGTTTTCTTTGCCGTGTGTGTGTGTGTGTGTGTGTGTGTGTGTGTGTGTGTAGCATGACTTTTTCATCCCTTTACTTCCAACATTTCTTACTATGTTTTAGGTATTTCTTTTAAAAACAGCATATAGTTAGATTTTTTTTCTTGTCTCTTAAAAATCTGGTTTGTTAATCTTTCTCTTTCACTAGAGTTTCTAATCCATTTACATTTAGTTTAATTAAATTGAATGTATTTAACATTTTATGTTCTACTTTATATCGTCTTACCCCATTATAGTTTTTTTTCCCCTCTCATTTATTGACTTCTTGTTGTTGTTGTTGTTGTTGTTGTTGTTGTTGTTGAGAAAGGGTCTTGCTCTGTCACCCAGGCTGGAGTGCAGTGGCACAATCTCAGCTCACTGCAACCCCTGCCTACCATGTTCAAGTGATTCTCCCACCTCAGCCTCCTAAGTAGCTGGGCTTACAGGTGACTGCCACTGTGCCTGGCTAATTTTTTTTTTTTTTTTTTTTTTTTTAGATGGAGTCTCACTCTGTCGCCCAAGCTGGAGTGCAGTGGTGCAATCTCAGCTCACTGCCAGCTCTGCCTCCCAGGTTCACGCCATTCTTCTGCCTCTGCCTCCTGAGTAGCTGGGACTACAGGTGCCTGCCACCATGCCCAGCTAATTTTTTTGTATTTTTTTTAGTAGAGACGGGGTTTCACTGTGTTAGCCAGGATAATCTCGATCTCCTGATCTCATGATCCACCCGCTTCAACCTCCCAAAGTGCTGGGATTACAGGCGTGAACCACCGTGCCTGGCCAGTTTTTTTTTGTATTTTTAGTAGAGACGAGTTGCACCATGTTGGCCAGGCTAATCTCAAACTCCTGGCGTCAAGTGATCTACCCAACTTAGCCTCCCAAAGTGCTGTATATATTCTTATAAGGCAGTTTTGTTAATGATTGACCATGTGTTTCAGAGGTCATAGTGGAAGAATTTTAGGAGATGGAGCAGACATGGCAAGTGAGGTAAGAAGAAAGAATATAAAGAGCTATGTGTGTGGTGATCAGAGTCCGAGTCATGAATGAAGGCTTTTGAAGGCTGGGCCTGTTGAGGTGGTAGACACAAACTGGGGAAAATAATTTAATGAGGTTAATCCTGCTGGTCTGAAGGCAGAGAATAATTGTGAAACTGTGGCTGTTGTAATATGGAAGGAGAGGTATGAATCTTGGCCTGGAAAATGTAGAACTCTGGCACCTGTTCCTCATTGCTGGTAATAGTGTTATGAAACAATTCTTTCTGTTTTCTAGAGGTCATCCCTTCTCAAGCAGAAAATTAAGAACTAATGAGCTAGGGCATTTATTATAGATGATAAATTAACTTCTGTACACCTAGAGTGGTCCTCGCTGTCAATGTCTTTGGGACAATGGGGAAAATAGTCCCTCAAATCATTTTTTGTAGGGCTTAATTATGCCATGGAACCCTGGTTAATACTGTTCTGGATACTAATCTTAGGTTGGTTTTATATATGCACATTTCTACTAATTTATAATGTGCCTTTTTAATGTATTTATTTGAATGAATACAAATTCTCATTTTTAATGTAGGCAAATGTGACCATCTTTTTTATAGTTTATGGTTTTTATGTCTTATTTAAGATATACTGTCCTTCCCCCAAGATTATAAATATATTGTCTTATGTTTCCCGTTGAAAGCTTTAAACATTTTGCCTTTTGTATTTAAAGTTCTTTGTTTGTCTAGATCTATTTTCTGTATGATGGTACAAGGTCGGAATCTGCTTTTTTTTTCTCGAGGAAGATCAATTGTCTCAACATCATTTATTAAACAGTTCATCCTTTCAGTAGTGGTCCGCAGTGCCAGCTCTGTCATAGATCAGATTTTCAGATATGCATAGGACATTTTTTGTGTTCTTTATTCTACTTCATTTGACTGCCAAAAATATACCAAAATCAAATTGTCCTAATTATTTCAGTTTTCTAGTAAGCGCACGTATCTGGTAGAACACATTCATCTCCCTCCTCCCCACATCCCACCTTGTTCTTCTTCAAGAGTATCTTGGCTCTCTGCTTTTCCCCCATTAAATTTTAAAAATCACTGGTCAAAGTTCCAGGAAAACCCGACTGGGATTTTGGTTAGAATTGCATTGATCCTATAGAATAATCTGAGGGAAAACTGATATCTTTACATTACTGATTCTTTTTCATGTTTGTCTTAATTCTTCCAAAATGTGTCACTCTGTTATTGGCAATTTATGTGGGAATATAAGAGACGTCGGTGTATGCCTGTTTGTCAAGATGAGAATAATTTTTTTATTGTATTTCTGAAAAATAGGTACTTGAAAATTCAGTCAGTGCTGTGTATTTATGCGTACCTGAAAGTTCAGCTATAAAAAGTGTCTGTCTTTAAAATAAAGGAGCATTTTCCTTATGAGAACAATTGTGGATTTAGGGATGAGGGTCAAAGTTCTTTTGTGCCCAGCTCAGAAGCAGTATAGCAAAACAGTTAAGCAAAGCTTATGTGGGTCACTTATATGCATGGGCAACCATGAGAGGCAGTAAACAAAGTGGATATGAGCTTGGAGCTTGTGTCTCGGGAGCCACACTTTCTGTGTTGAAATTCTTGTCCTGCCACTTATTACAAAATACTTCTGGTGGGTCAGGTTTTTTTTTTCTGTAAGATGGGGTGAGTAGTAATACTTATTTCTTTGAGTGATTGTGAAGAATAAATAAGTTAATATACATAAAGCGTTTGGTCATTAATTGTCACCCAGTATAGAAGGAAGACTGGTGAGGTAGTTGAGATCATGACTTCAGCAGTTGTGTATGTTCAACTTTCCTATGTCTTTCCTCTCAACATCCCCTCTACTTCTTCCTCATTTTTAGTTAGTATATTTATCAACTGAGTATTAGAACATAGTATAATAGTGAAGAGTATAGGCTTTGGAGTCTGGTTAACCTGGACTAAAATGCTAGCTTTACCCTTTTTTAGTACCATAAGGCAAATTAATCTCTAGCCTTCAGTTTTCTTACCTGTAAACTCGTAATAATAATAATGTCATAGTTTACAGTTGTTGTGAGAGCTAAATAAAATGTGATTAGCATAGTTTCTTGCACATTTCAAATTTTATTTTTTGTCATCATCATCATTATTATTATCATCTGTATTCTTATCTGTAAAATTGGGATGATACAACCTGCTTGGTAATACTGTTGGAGGACTAAATCAAATAATGTATGTAAAGTGTTTAGTATGATGACTGAAACAGAGTATATGTCCAATAAATGGTACTGTAAATGTGTTTTTATTTAGTTTTTCATTTCTGTTTTACATACTGTATACAAATATAGATTGGTGTTTGAAAATAACGTTTCAACCTTATATGCTGTAAGTACAAATACCTTTTTACTTCTGTATGGCCTAAGACTTTTCCTCTTTGTATCAGTGGTGCTTGATTAGAAACAATAGTCCTCTAAGTCTGACATACCCAATTTTGTCATACTTTCTACTCTTAGCCCACTCTTATTTACTGTGAGTCAGTTGCTTTTTTCCTTTATTTTCATTATATCTGATATTCTGTGATGTATATCTTTTAGTTTTTAATGGTAGAATCTTTTAGTTTTTATCTTTATGTTTTTTATTAACATGTGTTTATCCTCTGCTGACAGTCATGCAGTAGATTACAACAAACTTCTATTAGCAGGAAAGTTTCATTAAACTTCAGGCTCTTAATCTTAAGGTTATATATGATCCTTTTACACAAGTGTTGTCTAAAATGGTTCTTTTTAATTATATTATTTTTAAGCAATTTTTGTTTTATTGTTTTTAGAATAGAACAGTTGATAGCCAAAAAACAAGAAATGGTCATTGATCAATCTATCTCATTCTACTGCTCTTTCTTTTCAGAGTGGCAGACAACACACTACCTTTTCAGCAGAATCAAGTCGAAGCCTTTTGATCTGTCTACTTTGGGTTCTCAAAAATGCAGATGAAACAGTTCTACAGAAGTGGTTTACAGATCTCTCAGTCTTACAGCTAAACCGGCTGTTAGATCTGCTTTATCTTTGTGTATCTTGCTTTGAGTATAAAGTAAGTGGTCATTATACCATTGCAAAGAACAAGAAAGGAAACATAATGCGGAAAAAATAGAAGAAAATTTCCTCAAAACCTGTTCTCTTCTAATGTTTAAATTTTAGGGGAAAAAAGTGTTTGAAAGAATGAATAGCTTGACCTTTAAGAAATCAAAAGACATGAGAGCAAAGCTTGAAGAAGCTATCCTTGGGAGCATAGGAGCTAGGCAAGAAATGGTACGCCGAAGCCGAGGACAGCTCGGTACGTACATAATAGCTTCTCCTCCTGGTGAGAATTTCTTCAATTTCCTTGAGTTATATATTGTAATGATTATTGTTGCTAGTCTTAAATGTCAATCCTATGCTTTTCAAAAAGCATTTTAACTGTAACTGTAAATTAACTTGAATAATCATTTCTCTGCAGTAATACAAGTTAGAATTATGATTAAGGTAAGTCAACATACCCCCTAGTTTTCTCTAGATAGTCTTGGTTCATACCTGTTGCCCTTATATAGTTAATAGCATCCATCCTCCCTTTTTAAAAAGGCTTTATTTTTGTAGAGCAGTTTTAAGTTCACAGTAAAACTGAGCAAAAGTACAGAGATTTCCCATATACCCCTTAGCATGCATAGCCTCCCCCATTATTAACATCTGCCATCAGAGGTGCATTTATTGTAACTGGTGAACCTACATTAACACGTCATCACCCAGAGTCCATAGTTTATATTAGGGATGATTCTATGTAACGTCTGTTTTTTTTTTTTTTTTTTTTTTTTTTAATTGAGACAGATTCGCCCTCTGTCACCCAAGCTGGAGCACAGTGGTGTGATCGTGGCTTACTGCAGCATTGACCTCCCTCGCCCAAGCAATTCTTCCACCTTCACCCCCCAGTACACACATACCCTGGTAGCTGGGACTACAGGTGTGAACCACCATGTTCAACTAATTTTTTTTTTTTTCTTTTATAGAAACTGTCTCACTATATTGCCCAGGCTAGTCTTGAATTCCTGAGCTCAAGTGATCCTCCCACATTGGCCTCTCACGGTGCTGTGAGCCACCATGCCTGGCCCATTTTTACTCTTTATTTGCAAAATGAATTAATATGCCCTGTATGTAAGGCAAAAATATTGCCCATGAAACTCAAATAGCAGTGAGACAAAACAGTTTAGTAGCATTTGAGACTGGTTTTCTAATCCCAGATCTGCTACCCATTAGCCAAATAACCTTGGCCAAGTCACTTAATCTCCCCACCTTCCTTTTCCTTATAAATTTGTGATTGTTTTCAGAATTTAGAAGATAGTGTAACTAACTGATCTTATCATCTTTATAGTAATCATGTATGTGGAAACGTTTTGTAAATTCTAAAGTGACATACAGACAAAACTGTTGCTAAGAGTTTCTTAAGGCCAGGACCATGGGTTGGTCATCTGTGTAGATGATACATGCCACAGCACAATATGTATTTGTTGACTTAAAATATGAATGTAAGTGTGAATGGATTTTTAATTGTTTTCTGACAGTCCATTAGCATAATAATCATCTGTTTATCATTTTATACTATGTGTTTTATAGTAATGAAAAGACAGTCTTTGCCTTTAAAAAAAAATAGAGCACCATTTTTTCACTTTAGTTATACACAATTTAAGGTGTACTTTTGGGTTTTCATTCATTATAGATGGAAACCCTTGGCTGGGCTCAGTGGCTCACGCCTGTAATCCCAGCACTTTGGGAGGCCGAGGCGGGCAGATCACGAGGTCAGGAGATCCAGACCATCCTGGCTAACACGGTGAAACCCCGTCTCTACTAAAAATACAAAAAAATTAGCCAGGCGTGGTGGCAGGTGCCTGTAGTCCCAGCTACTCGGGAGGCTGAGGCAGGAGAATGGTGTGAACCCTGGAGGTGGAGCTTGCAGTGAGCCGAGATCGCGCCACTGCACTCCAGCCTAGGTGACAGAGCGAGATTCCATCTCAAAAAAAAAAAAGAAAAGAAAAGAAACCCTCTGAAAACGTATGAAAATTAACTTTTACTGAGATCATTTAATTATTACCAAACCCTAATGAATAATTATAGTCATCTTTTAGATTAAGAAAATAAAACACAAAGAAGTAAATAACTGCCTAAGATCATAAACTAAGTGACAGAACCAGGATTTTTTGATTTCTAATTTAGCGTTCTTTCTATTATACCACAACCCTGAGGTTTATTTTTGGAGAGAATGGAACTATTAACAATATACTTGTTACATTTTTTAACCTGTAGCCTCAGGAAATCTATCATTGTTTGAATATAAGAATTGAAGTCTTTTTATCTTATAATTCTTGTAATTATTATTTGTCTTGTAATTCTTATTTACATTTCTACATTTAAGTTAGGTCAATAATAGACATTGGTTTATTAGGTCTAATAATAGACATTCTTTTATTTTTCTTAACTTTCAGTTCTAAGACATTATTAACTAATGAGACAGTTTTGTGAGAAAAAATGTAAATGATAGAAAATTATACTTAATTTTGCTAACTATCTTAATATAGGCGTATCTTTTTGTTTTTTTTCCATAAATTTCTTAAAGACATGGATTTCAAAATTTAAAAAAGGGAAAGAGATAAGGAAAGAAAGGAAAGGAAAGGGAAAGAAATTGGAAGAAATAGAGACATGTCCTTTATTTTGCAGGAAATCATTCTTATTTCTCAGTATTTTTTGTATTTCTTTAATTGACATATATATAGTTGTATTTTTCAGTATTTTTAAAAATTTCTATTTGAACTCTGAACTTTTACTTTCATTGTTCTTCCATGCTCTCAACCAATTTAAACTTATCATTTTCAAAAACAAGCAGTTTTGTAGTTGAAAGTTTGAAATTATGACTGAGTCCATTGTTTAAATGTATATTTATATTATCCACATTCTCAATGCTGTCTCCACTTCTAATGGATTTATATGAATTATTTCTATTGCTGCCACCCCTTAAAGGAACCCATACATGCAGTCTGCCTTCAAACCTAGAAACCTCTTAAGGGAAAACTCCGTTCTTCCTCTTGTTCTGCCTTATATAGACCGAAAGAAGTAATTACTTTAGGAGTCCTTCCTATTTTGTTTATATATTAAACAGAAACTTACTGAGCTCTCAGTATGCACCAATTTATCAGCCTAGACGTAACATGCTGAACAAAGTACATATCATTTCTGTTCTTAAGGAGCTTATATACTTGTGGTCCTAAGTGTTATGGAAAGGAACAAAGCGAAGGAAAAGGAAAGGGAGGTATTGGAGAGTGGGAGGCCTTTCTAAGGAGGTGATAAATGAAAATTTGTGAGAAGAACAAGAAAAAGGAACAACAACCACTGCACAGGTTGTAAGTCAGAAACATAGAATATATACTGATAGATTTGCAAGAAAAACAGCAGTAAGCAAGAGGAAGAATGGTAGGAAATAAAGTCATATCATGTAGGGCCTTATAAGCCATGGTTAAGATTTTAAGAAAATCAATGTTAGAACATTTGCTTATTTAAATGGATATTGTTTTCAAAAAAAATACTGCATATAGCAAGTACATTTCTTCTGAAATTATTGTGAAAATTTTTAATAAAAAGCACCATTGTCAGGTTTTTCTACTTGTACTGAGGATAAAATGGCTTGTACAAATTATTGTTGTATTTCTTACATGATTGCAAGTATACATATATGTGTTCCAACTGAAATATCATTTGAAAATCAGCTTTGAAATTTATTTGACAGAGAGAAGTCCATCTGGAAGTGCCTTTGGAAGTCAGGAAAATTTGAGATGGAGAAAAGATATGACTCACTGGCGTCAAAACACAGAGAAGCTTGACAAGTAATAGAGCTTTCTATTTTATGTTACTGATGGGTGTGTTGAATTTTAAAATGCAAGAGAAAAATGATAACTTTTACTTTATATTTGTATTTAGTATTGACATTTAATAAATATACTTATTAAGTCTTGGACAAAATATTTAATTTTAAAATTTTAGATTTAAAAAGATTTGGAGGAAGAACTTCTCGTGGTATAGTAAGGCAAAATGTTATATTTTAAACTCCATTTTCTCTAAAACATCCTCTTGGAAAATGCATTCAGCAACTATTTTTGGAACATATTTTAGGTGTTACATTGAACTAATTTTTTTTTTTGAGATGGAGTTTTGCTCTGTTGCCCAGGCTGGAGTGCAGTGGCCTGATTTCGGCTCACCGCAACCTCCGCCTCCTGATGAACTAATATTTCAAATATTACAAAGGATTAGAAACCTGACATTTGTCTTCATGGAGCTTATAATGTAATTCAAGAAAGACAAAACAATACAGGTCTTCTGTTTCTAGCATGAAGGCAGACTTGATACATTGACTGATCCTACTGCCATAAACACCTGCAATGCACTTACATGAGTCTTCTCACTGCCCAAGTGGCTGCAGGTAAACTTGCCTGGCTTGAGATCTGGCATTGAGTCGAGGGGCTAAAATTTTTCTCTTGAGAATTTATAATTGTAAGTTAGCCCGCAAGTAGCTTCACTGGCCCATAAAACTTTGAGAATGGAGTGACCAACTCATTCAGGTTTGCCTAGCACTCTCCCAGTTATAGCACATATTGTCCCACATCCCAGGGAGCCCCTTAGTCCTGTTCTAAGGCAAACCAAGATGATTGATTACCGTGTCTGAGAACTGTCATCAGCCCAAGCCTCAGAAGATTCTCACAAATAAACTTTCACCAGTATTTTCTCACAGACGGTTAAATCGTAACACAGAGGAAACAAGTGAGAGCCAGCAGAGAAACAAGTTTCAGTACCATATGTATGAGAGCTTGAAATAATCAGATATTGAATGTAATATTAAAATTCTTAACCTTTGAATATGTGCTTTCCTTTCTTTTTCTCCATCTGTCCAAATCTATTTCTCTGATGTTTTTTCTACTTGTGTTATTTTTTAGAAATCACAGAGTAGCCAGGTGCTACACTATCAGTATATTGTTTTATTTCTGCATTTGTAGAACATGTTCTCTTGGTTTACCTTGCTGTATTTTGAGGGAGACTTTTTTGGTGTTCTCCTAATTCTTTCTGTTTAAACCATCTTGTGTTTCTTTATAAAATGTCACTGGAAATTTTAAGTTTGAACATTAAACATTTTGTTTTCCAGTTTAATGTTGTAATGTTGATAATTGTATTTTATTCTTTTTTTTTTTTTTTTTTTTTTTTGGAGACAAGGTCTCACTCTGTCATCAGGCCAGAGTGCAGTGGCACAGTCATGACTCACTGTAGCTTTGACCTCCTGGGCTTAGGTGAGCCTCCCACCTCAGCCTCCCAAGTAGCTGGGACTATAGCTGTGCACCACCACACCCGGATAATTTTTGTATTTTTTTTGGTGGAGACAGGGTTTTACCATGTTGTGCAGGCTGGTCTCTTCACTCCTGGGCTCAAGTGATCCCCTGCCTCAGCCTCTCAAAGTGCTTTTATTCTTAAATTGAATTTGTAAAATGTAAATTAATGAAGTATTCCCCTTAGTGGTAATAATAAAGATTCACAGACGTATAGATCTAAAAACTTAGAAAAGCTAGCGTTTAATATGTCCTTATACTTTATGTGTTATTTTGTCTACTTTGGTATAATACATAGTGCCTGTATATCTATTGTTGCTAAAACAAAAATCTCGGCTATATTCATAAATCATGTGTAAATATCCTTAAATTTTTATTTGCATTAAATGATACTTTTATAAATATTAGTGTTTAAACTACTTTATTGCATCAAACTGTTTTGTTCTTTTTTCTTTATTTTTCTAGCTTTATTGAGTTATAATTGACAAAAATTGTGTATATTTACAGAATATAACATGACCTTTTAATATATGTGTACAATTGTGAAGTGATTACCACAGGCAAGCTAACTAGCATATTCATCACCTCACGTCCTTTTTTCCCTAAATTGTTTTGTTTCCAATGAGTGATTCCATCTAGTCTCACTGAAGAGTTAAATTATCTGAGCATATTTATATTTTAAAAATTGGGGGGAAATTAGATGAAACCTTAGACAAAATAAGTACATTTGTCCTGAATACAGACATTGGAAATCTTTGAAATAGTAAGATGAATACTAAATATTTGAATGTTGTTTTCCATGAAGCAGTCCTAAATACAAGCCCACATAGCACCACCTAGTGTCAGTGTCACTTAGAATAAAACTGTTGCATGTCTGAAAGCTAAAACGTAAACATTTGTGCTTTCAGTAGCATTAAGCTTCTGTAATGGGGTGAGAAAATGTGTATTGTGGTTAACAAACAAGCCACGTAAATGTGTAAACTATTGCCTTTTTTCTTATTCTCTTGTAATTTTTTGTTGGGCAAATACTGAAAATGGTTTGAAATTTTTTATTTCTATGCATCCTTAAGTCTTTTCAGAATTGTGGTTTTCAAAAAGATAAATGTAATTTCTTAAAATATTTTGTATTAGATCAAGAGCAGAGATTGAACACGAAGCACTGATTGATGGAAACCTGGCTACAGAAGCAAACTTAATCATTTTGGATACATTAGAGATTGTTGTTCAGGTAAGAATTCAAAGAAGAGAAATTTAAGATATAGATTTGGTAAATTGAGGTTGGAGGGAAAAGTCTTTACTGTGAGCCATAAAATTACATTTAAATATTAGTAGTTCCTAAAAGTTTCATTCCAAGCATTCTGAGATTCTTTGTAATTATAAATTCCAATAGCTTCAACTATTTCTTCATGGAGGATGATTATGAAATTTTTATCTCCTTGTCTTTCCCCTTCATGGCCTAGTCTTGCATTTCCAAATATCCTCTGAGTATTTATAGTTGGATGTTCTGCCATCAGGTGAGATTCAACATGCATGTATAGCTATAGCTACATATAGATACACTGAGTTTATGCAGCATCCTGTGTATACTACAGCAGTGTTTCAGGCTCTTTGTCTATAATCATCATGTTGGGTCCTAACAGTAGCCCTCTAGGCAGTATTATCCTGTAGTAACAATGTGATAGCCGACATGTATTTAGTTTTTTCTGTGTTAAACATTGTCCTAAGCCCTTTACAAATGTCGACTCATTTGATCCTTCTAAGAAACTCATGGCATTGAAACTGTCAGTATCCTCATCTTGTAGATGAGAATACTTAGGCACGAAGATGTTAAATAACTGCCCATAATGACGCAGCTAGTATGTAGAAGAGCCAGGATTCAAATCAGTTAGCAAGATCTCTCAGACATTTTAGTAAATATATCTCTCACCTATTCCTTCCATTCCTTTTCTCCTACCACTGCTCTGCCAGGTTCATATTTCAGCGTGATTACAATGGCCACCTGCTTCATGATAACTCACTCTGTATTCTTCCTACCATCCATTCTGTACATTTTCATGAGACTTTTCCTTTAAAAATATTTTATGGCTGGGCACAGTGGCTCGTGCCTGTAATCCCAGCACTTTGGGAAGCTGAGGTGGGCGGATCATTTCAAGTCAGGAGTTCAAGACCAGCCTGACCAACATGGCAAAAACCTGACTGGACTCTATTTATTTATTTATTTATTTATTTTTATTGATTTATTTTTGAGACAGTTTCACTCTTGTTGCCCAGGCTGGAGTGCAGTGGCATGATCTCGGCTCACCACAACCTCTGCCTCCCGGGTTCGAGTGATTCTCCTGCATCAGCCTTCCAAGTAGCTGGGATTACAGGCGTGTACCAGCACACCCGGCTAATTTTGTATTTTTAGTAGAGACGGGGTTTCTCCATGTTGGTCAGGCTGGTCTCAAACTCCTGACCTCAGGTGATCTGCCCGCCTCAGCCTCCCAAAGTGCTGGGATTACAGGCGTGAGCCACTGCACCCAGCCAACCCTGACTCTACTAAAAATAAAAAAATTAGCTGGGTGTGATGGCGCGCTTCTGTAATCCCAGCTCCTCAGGAGGCTGAGGCACAAGAATTGCTTGAAGCCATGAGGCAGAGGTTGCAGTGAGCCAAGCCACTGCACTTCAGCCTAGGTGACAGACTCCATCTCAAAAAAAAAAAAAAAGATTTTATCAGTCATTATCCTGACTTCCTGACTAAAGTTTTAAAAATATAAAAAATTTACTAAGTCTAAGATACCTAATCCAAGATAGTTGCTTGAGCTGCACCTGTCATGTCTGTATTTTATTCAGTGAAAAGAAACAGCAGGGACAGAGTACATTTCTTCTTTTAAGGGCATGACTCAGAAGATGAAACTTCTGTTTCGTTCACCTCTCTCTGTAGCCGGATTCAAAGTCTTCAGCTAAAATTCAGGGTTTCAATTATTTAAGAAGAAAAGAATGGTTATTTGTGTACCAGCAACATTTTTTGCTCCAGGCGCCACTCTGTTTTTCAGCCTTATCTGTAGTTGTTTTCTACATGAACCTCAAGTCAGTTCAGACTTACTTACTAATTTTCCTAAAAAACACCTTATGATTTCTTGGCATTGTATCTTGCTCCTCTTTTTTCTTATTTAAATTATATTTATTCTTTTTCCCCCTTTTCTTATCCAAATCCTTCTTGAAGCCATTCTAGATCTTATATTTTTTTTTTTATCTTTTAAAACTTTATTTATACATAGGGAGGCCTGTAACCTCCCTAACTAAATGGCAGGTACATCTCTATTTTATTTGTTTATTTTTAAATTGCAGACTGTTTCTGTAACGGAATCCAAAGAGAGCATTCTTGGTGGAGTGCTAAAAGTGCTACTACACAGCATGGCCTGTAACCAAAGTGCAGTTTATCTACAACACTGTTTTGCTACACAGAGAGCCTTGGTTTCAAAGGTGGGTTATTTTATACCTGCAGTGTTGTCAGACTTTGTTTTCTTTGTTAACATTATCTAAGATCATTTGACACATTCATTGGTTAATATATGTAGTAATATATTAATGAATATGTGTAGTTAAAATTTAAATAATAACCTAAGATGCTTGATTCTTCTTTGCCTCTCTACTGCTGCCTGCCTTTTGGAATTTTTCATTTATTCGAATCACCTTTAACCAGTTCTGGTTTAAAAAACAGTAACTTGGATGTGGAGAAGGGCCTGAAATTAATAGCCAATCTTAAATATGGGGCTTCTCTTGTTTTCTCTCCACTTGGTTCTGTTTTTTAAAAAAACTTAATTTATAAAGAATTCAATATATAAGCAATTCAACCCACTGAAATTATTTTATGATGAATGGAAAAGAAGGTGTGTGTTTGTTCAACTGCTTTAAATATTTACTTCTTATATTTGTTTTCCCTCAGAAACATGTATATTCTTAAATTTTGAAGGTAGCTATTTCGTTTTAATCATCCTAGAAGATGGAGTGCAGAGACGTTGATGAAAATAACTTATGTATTATTTTGTAATAAATGTAGAATTCATGTATGTTGATTACTAAGTGTTTTATGCACATTCTGATAGAAGCTTCACAACAATCCCTTGTAGATATATTATTAGGCCTATTTTGTGGATGAGAAAACTTGTCCAAGGTCACACTACTAGTTAGTAAGTGGCATAATCAACATTTGAACCCAGTTTGACTCTGTGTCTCACGCTATTAACTATTAGCTAATATCGTCCTAACCGTTCTTTTAATTTCTGGGCTATATTAACAAATCTCCAGCTCAGGTTACATTAACATATCTCAGGAACTTTTACTGTAAAAATTCAGTAGTGGTTTGTTGTTGTTTTACAGTTTCCTGAACTCTTATTTGAAGAAGAGACAGAGCAGTGTGCTGATTTATGCCTCAGGCTTCTCCGACACTGTAGCAGTAGCATCAGTACAATACGGTCACACGCCAGTGCCTCCCTTTACCTACTAATGAGGCAAAACTTTGAGATTGGGAATGTAAGTATTTAATCATGAAAATTCTCTGTATTCATAATGAAATATAACTTCTGCTGATAGTTATTAAATCAGTTTTGGGAGAGCATGGAGTTTTTTGTATATTTTAAGTCTAATCATAGGCTATCTTGATATTTCTCATTCTGTGTATATCTTACAAAAATCCAAATCTCCAATTGTGTGCATATCATATGTATGTGTGTATGTATGTATATTAATACAGACGTAGAATATAAATGTACATTGAACAATTTTAAATTTTAATTGTCCCTAAGTAAAAAGAAATAAAAGTTTAAGTATCTTGGATTGATATTTTACAATTACATGTCACAGCCTTTGAAGAATTCCATTTTTTCATTTAAGTCTTTTATTATATGTTATATTCATGTGTTATATTTTTCCTTTTGAGTCAAATATTTAGTCAAATATTTAGTTTGAGTCAAATATTTATTTTTGCGTATGTAAGTATTTAAGGCCTTGAATTTTCCTTTAAGCACTATTTTTGGCATCTCCTTGGTTCTAATATTTAGTAATCTTGTCATTTCAGTTTGTATTTTCTTTTTAATCCAAAGAGTTGAGTAGCCTTTTTGTTTCAAAGTTTTGGCTGATTCCAGTGACTCACACCTATAATCCCAACACTTTGGGTGTCCGAGGAAGGAAGATTGCTTGAGGCCAGGAGTTTGAGATCAGCCTGGGTGACATAGTAAAACCCTATCTCTGCAAAAAAATAGTAGCCAAGCTGGGTGGCCCGTGCTTGTGGTCCCAGCTACTCAGGAGGCTGAGGTGAGAGGATCCCTTTGAGCCCAGGAGTGTGAGGTTGCAGTGAGCTGTGAACACACCACTGTACTCCAGCCTGAGTGACAGAGTGAGATCCTGTCTCAAAAAAAAAAAATTTTTTTATTGTTAATTTTCAGCTTTATTACATTGTGATTGTACAGTGTATATTCTGTTTCTCCCTTTCTTTATTGTGGATCTGTGTATTTGTGTGTCTAAATATAATCTGTTTTTATGAGTGTTCTACAAAAAATCTTTAAAAGGGGAGTATTTCTGTTTTCAGAATATTGAGTTAAACATATACCAGATAAATACACCTTATTAATCACATAGACTGCATATCATTGTTTTTTTTCCACTTGGTAGAAGTAAATTAAAGCCTGTAACTGTGTTTGTCTGTTTCTCCTTCAGCTTTTATTTGGTGTACTAATACTCATAACTACTATATTTTCTTAAGAGTTTTTCTCCTTTGGAATTTAAAAGAACTTTTGTTGGTTTTATTTAAAACCTTTATTCTATTTTATTTTTTGGCCTGAATTTCATCTCTTACGGTATTAAGATTTTGACCTCTGCTTTCTTTTTAATTTGAAATTACTTTATTTGCTTTTGCCTGTTCTTTAATTTTCACTTTATTTTAGATGTGCCTCTCATATACAACATAAGAGTTGAGTTTTGCTTTGTGATCCAACCTCTAATTGAATGAAACTTTTCATACTTGTTATTATATTACGTATGTCCAGGAATCCTATTTTATTATTTTGTTATGCCTTTCCCTCTTGCCTCCCCTTTTAAAAAAATGTGTGTTGGTTGTTTTCATCTTACACTATATGGTCTGTTTACCTTGTTTTGGGGATGTAGTGTTTATCATATTTAGCAAAATTTCTGGTTTTGCTAGGTTGCCTTTATAGTCATGTAATACCCCTAGTCCTCTATTTCTTTAGATCATGCATTCTCAACCAGAGCAGTATTACCACCAAGGGAGTGAAAATTGGTTTTTGTGGAGGATGAGAAAAATCTTAGCTTATGGTCCTCCATAAGCTCAACACTACCCAACAACATGGCATTGCTTAGTATTACATGGCATTGCTTAGTATTTATTTCTCTCATTGGTGTTACTGGGTATCACATGAGCAGCACTGACATTAAGTTCTTGGAAAATAAAAAACAAAATGTATGCAAAATTGGGTTATAAAACTGGAGAATAAATGACTGTGATTGGAGACTTTTAATCAATTGCTTGATCTCAGTCATATGGCAAGAGGTTGCTTCCATTGGCTGCCTTGTGGATATTGTTTATGTTTGGTTCTCAGTGCATTCGTGTGTGACTTGGGCTTTGAAAATTAAGCCCAAGAAAAAAACTTTCCAATTTATTACTTCATTCTACAAAAGTTATTCAAGCAATTTTTAATCGTGTCAGTTGCTGAAAAGAAAAAAGTCAACAATATCTAAATGAATATGTAGTAGCCAGAACGTATTTTCTGCTATCAAGCAAATAGTGCAAGTTCACTGAAATAACTTTTAAGAAATTAATTTTTAATTCTTTTGCTGGATAAGTAGCAGTTTTGAATGGTTTAAAAAAATTGATTACATTGCTGCTTTTGTAGTTATATAAGTTGCTAATTTATTTGTGTAATTTGATACATTACAGTTTATTTAAGCTAAAAGATTATATTAAAAGTTTTTCAGAAAACCAGCCTATAAAGGTAAGCTAAATGTAAATCATTTTCAGATTTTTAACTTAAAATTTGTATCTAGTCATTCATAACCTTGCATCGAGTAAAAAGAGTAAGCTTCATATTTACTTTCTTATGTGTATATAAATCCAGATATACATAGAGTGCATAAACAGATGTATACATCTCTGATATTAAAATATCATAGGGATGTAATTAGAAAAGTTGTTCAAAAAGATTTATAAGAGGGACAATAATGAAAAAAAAATGGAGAAACTCTACTTGAAATAAGTATCTATTAACTCCCTTTAATGAACAGTAATAAAATTGCTGATTTTCTTCTTTCTCTCCTCCACCCTGTCATTCTTTATACCTCAATATTTCAAAAAAGTATCTTTCTTACTGTTTACATTTGTATTGTTGAATCTGCATGTACTTCACTTAATTTAATTGCCACCTTCAAATAACGTTATTTGTTTTATGTCTACTGTAGATTGTTAAGTACTTCTTTCCATCTCCTTTCTCACCCTCCTAGTTTTTTTCTTAGCTGTAACATTTCAGTCTTAGTTCATAGTCTTAGTTGTAAAATGAAATATTGCTTACCATGAGTTTTTTGGGGCTATAATTATTGTTTAGCTAAATGTTGTCCTCATCAAGGTTCTAAGGAGTAATATTTTCCAAGTGGTTTTTTTGGTTTTTTTAAGTAGAGACAGGAACTCACTTTGTTGCCCAGTCTGGTCTTGAACTCCTAGGCTCAGGCAGTCCTCTCTGTATGGCCTTCCAAAGTGCTGGGACTGCAGGTGTGAGCCACCTCACCCTGCCCGCCCCACTCACCCCACTTTTAAAAATAGAGACAGCGTTTCTTCCTGTCACCCAGGCTAGACTGCAGTGGCATGATGGTACTTCACGGTAGCCCAGAAATCCTGGGCTCAAGCTGTCCTCCCACCTTGTCCACCCAGAGTGTTGGGATTACAGGCAGTAATCATTGCACCCGGCCAATTTTCCAAGTTCTTGATTGTTTAAAGTTATCTGTATTTGTAGGATAGCAAGAGTGTTTATGAAATTTTTGCCTTATACTTTGAATAATAATAAGCGTGAGAAAAATCAGCAAAACTTATCAGATAAAGAACACCTCATAGGAAAAAAGGGTACTTGAGTACCATTGTCTTCTGACATTAAATATTGTTGTGGATACATTGAAAGGTAGCCTGATATTTTTCTCTGTTTTAAATAACGTTTTTTCCTCCAGCTGCTCTTGAGATTTTCTTTATATTTACAATTAAATGCCTTTTCTAGAATTTGTCTTAGTATTGAAAAGGCTTAGCTTTTTCAATTACACCTTTATCCTAGCCAACTATAAATTATTTTATCACCGTACTCTCAGTGCCTACTATGTAGTGTGACGTATTTACTGAGTTGAATTCTTGAATTTTATCTTTAAAACTTTGGACAAATGCCTTAGGGGCATTTTAAGGAGAGGAGGAACATGTTCAGATTTGCATTTTACAGAAAGTTCCCTGGTGCTAGGTAGAGGTTAGACTGAGAGATATGAAAGAAAAAGGCATGGAGATCGATTAGGAAGTTATTACAGTAATCTAAATAAGAAATGATGAGGGTGTAAAATAAAGCAAAGGCATTGGGAATGGAGAAAGGATATATTGGATCACATTAGGAGATGGTGTAGTTTTGGATTTATGGTATGAAAAATGAGAGGGGAGAATGAATAGGGGACCCCTAGATTTTTGGCATGACTACAAGAATAGTATCACTTTTTTAGATAATCAATAGGGAGAGAAGGTATTGTAGACATGTTGACTTTGTGGTACCTATGAGACATCCAGATGGTGCTATCTAGTAAACTATGAGAGCCTGGAGTTCTACAGAGAAATATCAGCTGGAGACGGAAACATGTGTATACTAGTCGAAGCAAAAACATGGATGAGGCTCTTTAGAGTATGTTAAGTGAGAAAAGTTTTTTGACAGAATCTTTGGGAATACTGGTATTTAGGAAGGACAACCAAGGAATAAAACAGAAAAAGAGTTGAAAAAGAATAGAAAACCAGGATAAAGTGGTGCCACTGAAGATAAGGTAGGAGATTTTCAAGGAGAAAGTAATTTAAATATACAAAGATATGAAGTAGAATATTGAGCAAAAAATATTGGATACGACAATTGATATATTATCACCAATAATCTCTTAAGAATGATTTCATGGTAGAGAATGGTGGAGCAGAAATGAATTTACACTAAAAAAAAGGAAGAATGTAAGTTATAAGCTGTTAAAGGCGTCACTCCAAAAGATTCTACCTTACATTACTTTACGCATGATGTGTGTTAAATTGCTTTCATCATAGTGTGGATGTCATGAAATGGACTAGAATTTAAGTACTCCATCTACTATTTAAGAATCTTATAATGTCAATCAAGCTATTTAACCTTATCTGTAAAATGTTATATTAATAACATATGCCCATAATAAATAAATGTAAAGACATAAGCAGAATTTCTAATTCAACTCTTAACACATGACTTCTTAAAATCCTGTTTTGTAGTACATTATTCAGAACAAAATTCTAAGTTTTACATCCTTTCTAAAATAAGATTTTGATATACATATTTTATTACTTTAAAAAATATTTTGCTTAGAATGGTATTTTTTCACTAAATATACTTTTAGCGAGGAAAAATAGCAGACTTTTTAAAGCTTTTCTATATTAAGTATTGACTGGACAATTTTTCTGTTACAGAACTTTGCTAGGGTTAAAATGCAGGTAACAATGTCACTATCCTCCTTGGTGGGCACATCTCAGAATTTTAATGAAGAATTCTTAAGGCGTTCTCTAAAGACTATATTGACATATGCTGAAGAAGATCTGGAATTGAGGGAAACAACATTTCCTGATCAGGTCAGAAATGCTACTTTCTAGATCATTAATTGAAATAGGCTTGTTAAATAGGCACTTTCCAAATTGTTAAATCAAAAGTTGGTTTTTGCTGGAGGATCATTTATTTCATTTTGAATCCACACATCATGTGCCATAGATAGGACTGAATCTTTTTGTTTTAGTCAGCTACCCTTCTTTTGGAAATAATTAATTCTTTGGTGTTTAATTCTGTGCACTTATAATAAGTAGAACAGTAGACTTGGACAATACAGACAAAGCTTTCTGACGAAACATTCCTACTTATTAATCAAACAATAATATGCCTTATCAACTAAAGTTTCTACAAACTACCTTTTAGTAAAATCAGAAATATAGGAGAGAATTTTCCTTTTGTATTCTTGTATTTCCTATATCCCTCTGTTTTATTTCTACTTATAGTTCTGCTTGTTTCCAGGTGAAAGAACAAAAAATATAGATAGTCTGCTGAGGAATTTATGTAAAGTTTACTACCCTTCACTTACCATATCCCCACATACCTATACTTTACAGAACCATATCAATATCATACAACTTGTTTTGAAATCTTTAGATATTTATCTGAAATATCTCTGAAACTAATTTGGTTATTATGGATGAATGACAATTCAAGAATATTTTTCATATAATTCTCTGCTGCAGGTCCAGGATCTGGTTTTTAATCTCCATATGATTCTTTCTGATACTGTGAAAATGAAGGAACACCAGGAGGATCCTGAAATGTTGATTGATCTAATGTACAGGTAGCATTTATTTGATTCATTTATGCTTTGTATAAGGGACTTAGTAAGACGTACAGTAAGCATTAGATGAAAAAAATAAACACACAAAAGTGATTTGTGATTTTTCCGTATTTACATTATTTATTGTTTTTATATTTATATATTTTTTACTTTTTTGTAGAGATGGGGCTTCACCATATTGCGCAGGCTGGTCTTGAACTCCTGGGCTCAAGAGATCCGCCTGCCTTGGCCTCCCAAAGTTCTGGGATTACAGATATGAGCCACCCCACCTGGCCTTGAGTGATTTTTTCCAGTGGTAGATTGAAAGTCCAAATGCACTTTTTCCAGGCGGCATCTTTGGATCTTCTGTGTCTCTTCTTTTAAGAACAATGCAAATATGCTTATTGATTATCAAAAATAAGAGGATTTTTAAAAATATTCATAACACACATTTAACACCTTGGTGTCTTGGGCCCCAGACTTCCTTTGAAGGCCCATACCAATATTTTAAATGTAAAACTCAGTCTTTTAAGAAGAAAATACAGTATATGAATGTTTTACTGTAACATTAATTACCTTTTTTCAATACTGTTGTGACTAAAGAATGATTATTTCTAAGGGCACATTTTGAAAACTCCATAATTTTTATTGTATTAACACCTTAATAGATACAATAGTAAAACTTAAGAATTTTTCTCTGTCATATGACCCTCTGCTCCTGCAATTTTGGAGTTCATTAAAAGCACAAATAAAACAATTTAATCTCTTTGAAATAAAGTTGATGTAATAAAAGTACCTTTTAGAAGTTTTCCTTTTTCCTTGCATATAAAACTTCTCTATATTTCTGTAATGAACACATAAATTTCCATACTTTTTCCCTTAACTGATTATTTCCTTAATGGTCAGATTTTGATATGGCATATTTCTTTTTTGCCCCTCCTGCCCTCCCCCACCCTGCCCACTGATATTATCCATTCCATAGGCCACAGTTATTTCTCTAAGCCTGCATAGTGACATTTTCATACTACTTTAAAACTAAATGGGTTGTGCACAGTATCAAAAACCTATCTAGGTAAACTCTGAGTGAGCTAGCTAAACTCCCTCCCAGCTTGGGAAGCATATACTAATGGAGAAGAATTTCTGTTCTAATTAGAATTGCCAAGGGTTACCAGACCTCTCCAGATCTGCGATTGACCTGGCTGCAGAACATGGCTGGCAAGCACTCAGAACGAAGCAATCATGCTGAAGCTGCACAGTGTCTAGTCCACTCAGCAGCACTTGTTGCTGAATATTTGAGCATGCTGGAGGACCGGAAATATCTTCCTGTGGGATGTGTAACATTTCAGGTAGGAATCTTCCAGATGTACATTAAATCAAGGTATGTCTTTTTTTGGTTTTAGCTTTTTCTCACTGGTATTGAGATTTTTTTAGTTTGCAGGGAAAACTTAAAGACTTAAGCCAATGCTTCACAAGGTAGATTAACATTTCACAGTGATTGTCATTAATACATTTTTAAGGAGTACTTCTTGTTAATTCTCTTTCCACAGTTTCTTACCTCTGAACTATCAGCACTTTGCTTATTTTTTCTTTTTGTCTTTACTGCCTTGTAATCAGTTACATACTTTAACATCTGTGGAAATGTATTACTGAGAATCAGAATTCAGTAGAAATTCTTAATTGGCTTTTACTTAACATAGCAGATATACAAACATTCTCTTTTCCGTACATAAAATATTAGTACATTTTATGACTAATACCATGACTCACAGATGAGTTTGCCCTCTAGTAGGGTACATAGTTCTGACCCACTAGTTGAATTCTTTGCTTACCAAGGGTCAGTTATGCTTTGCTTTTCTTCACAACCTGTTAATGGTAGGTTTGGGATATTATAAAATTTAGTTAAATGTTTTATCTTCTGATGAAATCAGAATGCAAAAAGAAAGTTATCGTTTCTCTGATAACAAAGTTGAATTTTTACAAAGACTCAGGAAAGGTGAATCTCCAAAACAATTGCTGTTGAATTAACTGTGGGCCGGACAAATAGATTGGGGGAGAGGAAACTCCTAAAATTCCAGAATAATTTGATGATCGATTTAAGTTTAAGTTTTCACTCAAAAGAAACCAAAACTTGAAATCTTTAAAAAGAATGTTGCCTTTTGGGTATTTACCCACAAGAGATTCCGTGGAAATCTGATCTGGAAACCCATACACACAAAGAGAAGGCCTTAGATTTAATTCAAAAGTTGATAAATGAGTGTACATCTACTGTAAATGTTTAGGAGGTTAAAATAAAATAAGGTATGTATGTATCATTTCTTTTTTAGAAATAATGGCTGATTCCAATCTCATTGAATAAGAGGGCTTTTATTATACTTGAGTTTTTTTATTAACTCTGTGTATATTAGATAAGTCAAGAGACCATTTTTGTCCCTTTTTTCCTTTATAGTTTTGAGATGATCAATTAAATAAATAAAAAAGGACTGTTGATATCTCCTTAGATGTCTTATGTCATATTACAATTTCCTTTAGCCCATGACGTTTCTTAATTTTCTTTCATACCACTTTTTATTAAGAGAAAAGTTATCTAACAGTGGTGTTTTCATTTTATCATCTTCAAAATACAGAAAGTTTTTGGAGATTTATCTTTTACCTTTATATTATTCTCCTTTTTTTAAACCTAACCTGATAGTTACAGTTCATCTTCAGTTATTTCTTTTTATACATTTTTATGCTAGAAAATTCTGTTTCAAAAACCTTTTCAATTTATTTTTTCCCTAGAATATTTCATCTAATGTTTTAGAAGAATCTGCGGTCTCAGATGATGTGGTATCTCCAGATGAAGAAGGTATCTGCTCTGGAAAATACTTTACTGAGTCAGGACTTGTGGGATTACTGGAACAAGCAGCTGCTTCTTTCTCTATGGTAGATGACTCTTGTTAATTCTTTTTCCAGAGTTTCATACCTCTAATTATCAATGACATGTGTATTTATTCTCTCTGTCTTATGACCCTACTTTTCTTTAAAGATAATTTGTTCCGGACCTGGTATGGTGGCTCATACCTGTAATCCCAGCACTTTGGGAGGCCAAGATGGGAGGATTGCTTGAGTCCAGGAGTTTAAGACCAGCCTGGGGAATATAGTGAGATACCATCTCTACAAAAAATTAAAAGTTCACCAGGCATGGTGGCTCATGCCTGTGGTCCCAGCTACTTGAGAGGCTGAGGTGGGAGGATTGCTTGAGCCCAAGAGGTTGAGGCTGCAGTGAGCCATGATTATGCTGCTGTACTCCACTCTGGGCAACAGAGTAAAACTCTGTCACCAAAAAAAAAAAAATTGTTTTTTATTCCATGTCCCCTAAAAACTATCTAGGAACACATTTTCTTTCTAGATTCATTATTGGCTTACTCCTTTTCATCTTAATAATCTGTCACTTCCCCCAGTGTTCCAGTGGTTTGGCTCACTGCAGCATCAAACTCCAGAGCTCAAGGGATCCTCCCACCTTAGCCTCCTGAGCAGCTGGGAATACAGGGGCACACCATCACGCGCAGCTAATTGTTTTATTTTTTGTAGGGATGGGGTTTCACTTTGTTGCCCAAGCTATTCTCAAACTCCTGACCTCAAGTTATGTTCCCCTGATCAGCCTCCCAAAGTGTTAGGATTATAGGCATGAGCCACTGTGCCCAGCCCACCAGTGTTTTTCATTTGCTTGTTTATGAACCAGCATGTGATTTGTAGCAGATATTTTTTGGTTCATAAAACTTTTACGGCCAAATATTTTCTAAAACCTTTAAGTTAAAAAACATAGTAAAACAAAACAGAAAGTCTCTGAGTGATATAAGTTCCTAGTTGGTAGACTGACGGGGCTCTATAAATAGATCTTGTCTATTGGATGAAATGGAGAATCTTCTTTCCAGTATGATGGGCATTGCCCTGGTGTCCAAGAAAGTTATGACCACTCATTCCATTGGTTGCATAGTAATCCTCATTAGGTAGTTATCGGAGCCCTGGACCTTGCTCTTTAATGAACTGCATCCTGAATCCCTTACCTGACTATGCTACCACGCTATAACCCCAATCTTGTTCCCTTCCATCCATATGTGAAGAACTAAAGCAGTCAGATGAAACCCAGATGGGATGTTTATTGGAGAAAGAAAAGATAGTTAGCTGAATTCATGCTCACCTTCTTAAACCATGTTGATAGGGTCACTTAATTCCTCTGACTTTTCCGCTGAATGTTTAGTGTCCCAGCACCCAAGGTTTAGGAGACACTGAGGTTCATGTTAGGGTAAGAAAGAAGCTTGAGGTAATATGCAATGCTGCCCTCTTTCCCCTTTTTTACTTCTGTTGGGAATTGATTTGTTCTTCACCAGGCCTTATCCCTATCCTGCAATATATTGATTAAGGGTAGATTTAGAAGGCATACTGCCAAAGTTCAAATCCTGGCTCTGCCATTTAGCAGTTGTGTTACTTCAGGCACAAATTATTTAACCTCTTGGTGCCTCACTTATCTATTAAATACATCTAATAATAGTACCTACCTCATAGGAATGTTTTTAGGATTAAGTAAGTTCATGTATTTAAAGTGCTTATCACAGCTCCTGGCTCCAAGTAAGTACTAGTGTGTTTACTGTTACCATCGTTTTCATCATTATTGGCAATTGAGAGACTCTTAAGAGTGTTTTTGCAGAGTTAAAATATTAGGTGTCGATCCTCTTTTAAAATGTTTGCCTCTAAGGACGTTGACCATTCCAGTTCCATCCCTACACTTGTCTAAGCTAGCAGGGGGCAAGGGTTTTTTGCTATTGGTGGAATGTTTTAATTAGCATAACTCTGTGTGTTTGTATGTGTGTGATTTTAATAATTCACAGTAGTGCATTTAGATTGGGGGACAGTAACCTATATTATTAAAATTCTTTTGCAGTTGTATATGATTGTAAATTTTATTCTTTTTCAATTAATCTGATTTTAGTTAAAATAATTACTGGAGCATTTTAGTTACACTAAACATATTTCACTAGTACAACTACATTATTGTTTAATTATACTCCTACAAACGTACTGGGAAATATAAGGACCATGTGTTTTTCTTTGGGAAAATATGTTTGCTGATCTGTGAAGCAACGAGGACTCAATGGCTTTTGGAAAACATCTCTCTCTCCTCTTACTACAGCACCAATCCATTATTAAATATAAAGGATGGGTCAAGCCCAGTGCCTCACGCCTGTCATCCCAGTGCTTTGGGAGGTTGCATAGTAATCCTGGGATTACCCCCATCTCTACAAAAAGTGAAAAAATTAGCTGGGCATGGTGGTGAGCACCTGTAGTCCTAGCTACTTAGGAGGCTGGAGTGGGAGGATTGCTTGAGGTCAGGAGTTCAAGGCTGTAGTGAGCTATGATCACACCACTGTACTCCAACCTAAAAAACAGAACAAGACCCTGTTTCTTATTAATTAAAAAAAAAAAAATAGATAAGGGATAGAAGACCAATACAAACACATCTTGCCTCTCACTCTGATTATGTGATTATAACCATAGCAACCACTGGCCAACTAGCCCACAGTGGAAGGAAATCTGGTGGCTCAGAACTTTCTATGCTTTATTAAAGATTTGTGATTTTTTTCCATAGGAGATTTACAATAGGAGATTGCCTGTGTCAGCTTAATATTTTGGAAAAGTAAATGATTTTTGTGTCCCAGGAGGCCACGGGTTATCTGATTATAGGAGAATTGGGTATCTGTGACCTGTGTAATATTAAATTCCTTTTTCCGCTGCTCAGAATTAGTTTCTGCAAAAGTTTATATGCATAGATAAGTATACATACACACATTAGCCTTAGTGAAGTAATTATTGGGCAGATAAAAGGAAAATGCCCAATTCAAATTATAGAAATATAAATATGCACATATGTGTATGTGTATATATTAATATACACACACATACACATATCTGCATACATACCCATTTATCCAGAGGAGAAGATACATTGGAAAATTCTTTTTATTAAGCCTTAATACAGTTAAAAACTAGTATTTGTTTTTGTTTCCTATTGGTGGTATTATCTTCCCCCCGCCCACCCCCCCACCCCAGATGGCGTCTCACTCTGTCGCCCAGGCTGGAGTGCAGTGGCACGGCCTCGGCTCACTGCAAGCTCCGCCTCCTGGGTTCATGCCATTCTCCTGCCTCAGCCTCCCTAGTAGCTGGGACTACAGGCGTCCGCCACTACGCCTGGCCAATTTTTTGTATTTTTAGTAGAGACGGGGTTTCACCGTGCTAGCCAGGATGGTCTCAATCTACTGACCCTCGTGATCCACCCGCCTCGGCCTCCCACAGTGTTGGGATTACAGGCGTGAGCCTCCGCGCAGCCTCAGCGGTATTATCTTAATAGAAATATTGCAAATTCATATAATTACTTTACTTTCTTATTGATGTAAAAGAAAGCAACATCTTATAAAATTTTTTCTTATAGGCTGGCATGTATGAAGCAGTTAATGAGGTTTACAAAGTACTTATTCCTATTCATGAAGCTAATCGGGATGCAAAGAAACTATCCACAATTCATGGTAAACTTCAAGAAGCATTCAGCAAAATTGTTCATCAGGTAATGATTCCAATTTCTAGCTTCACTATTAAGGGAAAAAACTGTCTGAAAGCATTAATGTTGTTTTGTACTGATGTCAAACTAGATCCAGTGAGATGACCATTTTAATCAGACTACCAATGAACGGTCAAAATGATAGTTCGTGGCCAAAGCAAAGCTCAGTAACTAAAGTAATGGTGATCATCATAAACTATCCGCATAGTTTTTTTTTTCATTTTTGAATTATTAATTAGCAAGTTTTAAAATATTGTGGTTTTTGTTTCACAAGGTGGATCATATTTCAGCTTTTTAAATTAAATGATGTGAAACTAATAAACTACTAATATTTTTAATGACTGCAACTGAACTTTATGTTTCCTAGATGTTTACATTCAATCATCCTTTGATCTATTTCTAATACAAAAATATTATTTTGTGAAAATAATGAATAAAATGGTTGTCTTAGTGTGTATTTAATTCTAATAGTATTTCATTACTTTATAGTGCATTATGGAATCTACATATTATCACTAAAATTAGAATCAAATTAAACTTAGTTTTAAAATGAAGTACACTACTAGCAGTTGATTTCTTTGAAACTAAATCCTTGGCTTCATTGAAATACTGCAAAATATCCTATCGAGTCTCCTCCTCCTCCACTTTTCTGTTCCCTTCCCCTTGCTACCCTACTATTACCTACTGCTGCCAGTGTCAAAGGAGGTGGAGTATGACTATCCACTTTTGTATTCAGTATTAGTCCTACTTTGTTACCTATCAGCTTGATCTCTTCTTTTTTGCAATGAATTAAGCTGTTCTAAATGAACTGATTAATCTGAAAAGCCTTTGACAGTCTCAAAACAGGGCTGCTATCCTGTGAAGTCAGGATTTTATTGTCATCTATTAAAATGTTAAAGTCGAAAAATATTGATTAGGTTTCATGACCATAACAGGTAGGTCTTTTAATAATCAGTTGTACATATACTGTCACAGGAACCTCAAACCAGTTTCTAGAGCTGTAAATTGCAAATTATAAATGTTAGGTCTGGCACATTTAGCGCTAGTCGTTTCTGAGAAACTTTCAGCCATTTTTGTCATTGGCATTTGAGCAGAGTTGCAATTTGTATTTTAATTTATCCTGGATACTTAGTAAAGTGCAGCTCACATTAGTTAGAGATCACTTAAACATGTAAATGGAACAAGCAGCTGGATCTCTTTCCCTAAAGTTTGTACTTTCACTTAAAGTTTTTAAAAGGCAAAATTTTAGCCACTGGGTTTTGACCAAGCAATTTATGAAATTATTGCAGGTCTTAAGTAAATGAATATGCTGTTTAAAATATCCTGCTGTCTTCTATTTGTGGAGAAGAATTTATGGTATATGGTGCCTTTGGCCTTTTTTGTTCTTTTTAAACAGTTTTTTTATGACTTGCCCTTTTTTACTTTTTATTATACAGAGTACTGGCTGGGAGGTAGGTAATGTTTTAGTTAGTTAAAGACACTAATAGATTGATTTTATAAGATTTCTTATGCCAATGCTTTGCCCACATGTGCTAGCTGTGGGCATTCTGTTGCTATCTGCTATCAACTGAATTCATTAACCAAAGAAATTTTGTTAAAATATTGTAAGTTATTTTAAGAAATATCTTATTAAGAGGTTGTAGGCAGTGCATGGAAATCCATATGTTACACTAATGAGATTCTTTGGTAAATGAGCCACTTTGTCATCACTTTAGTTTTTATCCTTCAATTTGAAGCATTTCTCTCATCAACATTTATACACAGATTTCTTTTTTTAACCGTATTGTTTCACCTCATTTTACAGAGGTCGATTTATGTGTTATTGCTCAGAGGTGTAAATAGAAAATACTCTATTTCATCTGATCTTAGATGGCATCAATTACAAAACATACTAGTATTTTATATGCCTTTAAGAAAGGAAAAAAAAAAATCCCTGTGTGTTAAGCCAAGATATCCTATTAGTTGAAAGATGAATACCAACTATAAAAGCATTAAAATGTGGGCAAAAAAAGTACATTTTAGAATTGATGAGATGCTGTGTAATTTGATCTTGAGTCTCTTCACCTTGACTATAAGCACTACTGGGGAAAGAAATTCACTTTACTGGGGAGAGGGATAAAGAAATTAAGAGAACTTATAATTTAATTTGACCTCATATTTCTGACAGCATTTGATATATTGTTTGATAAGACTACACATGCTTCCTTTTATGTAGTAGTTAAGACTCACAAAAAGTTTTATGTAAATACAATCTTACCTGAAAAAAATGCCAGGAAAAATTAATTACCATTATTTTAAATGTTTCTGCAAAGTAAATAATTCTATAAAATATGCCCTAATTTATTTTGATGAGGTAAAGCAAAGTAGTAATAAGTCAGGTTTATTTAAAGCTAAGTATATTTGTGAAGTTGTGTGCTTTGCCTTTCACTTGTTGTCAGATTTATGTTGATCGAACAGCTTAGGCTTCTCTTTTTGGGTTTGCATTGCAATCCTTGTTTTAAGCCCCAGATAGAAAACCTTGGGAATAAATATTACTACTGAGTTTTCCTCCATTTCTGAAATACTACCCAAGTCTTGTTTTTCTTTAGATGAAGCCAGTACTTTTATAAATCTACCTTAATTCTCTGTATATGACTGTATTAATACTCAAAATATAATCCTCATTCCTATGGCTCAGTTAAGACATACATAAAGAGACTTGCCATGGTTATCTATGAATGATGAAACTCCTTATAAATTTCCTAACTTGAAATAGAATTAGTTGAAAATTAGGCCTAAAATAACATATTGAAACCTCTGAGCAGTTTATTACTAGTTTCCGTGATGCTAAATCGACCCCTGAAAGGTATAATTTTCACTGGTTATGACATTAATATCATTCTGTCATCATGTTTATTGCATGGTAAAAGTCTCACAGACTTTATTTTCTTGTTTATATACTTGTCACTACCTTTTACTGGACCTTTAGCTTTGTAGCTGCTAAATTTGTTGCACGTTTGTTTTTTGCTTTTCCTTTGTAAAACTTAAATGGATGCCTGCATTTAAAAAATGTGTTTTCTACCATTTGCTGCTTATTTGTTTTGAAATTTCTGTAATTAAAATGCTTTCTGTTTTCTCTTCTCTCTTGTCCCTGGTTGCTGACCCTACTCCCCACTTTTACTATTGTCTATTGTGGTAAGTTCTATCTTGTGGATATTTTTCTTTTTGACTCTATGAAAACTTCAGTAGTTTTGTTTTTTCTAAAAGCTATGTTTCCTAGCTAATTTTCTAGTATTCTGATAGAACTCTCACTGGATTGAAGTCCAGTAAGGATAATCTGTATATTGTAGAAAGGCTCTTTGAATTGATAACTTGCTCCGCAACTTATAGGAAAACCCCATCTGGGCTTATATATTAGTCACATGTTTCATGTTTTTATTGTGCTCCTTGATTTAGTACAAATTATTTGAGTTGGCAGAGCTTTTAATGGGGGGTGTGTGTGTGTGTGTGAAAGATAACTCTAAAACTTAGTATTTCGGTAAAGTATTTACCACGCAAAATAATAAATCATGAACCTTTCAGGAATCATGTGACTGTTATCTCCTCTGGTAGTTTCAGTTCTTTAATGGCTGTTTAGTGTTCACTTTTATTTTTACTTTTCCCAAAGTCTTTTTGTGTTTCTCGAAATAGTAGGAAGTAAAAGCATGTTTGTTGTCTTTCAAAATGTTTGTTTATGAGATGGGGTCTCACTCCATAATTCAGACTGGAGTGCAGTGGTGCGATCACAGCTCTCTGCAGCCTTGACCTCCAGGGTTCAGGTGATCTTCCCACCTCAGCCTCCCGAGTAGCTAGGACTGTAGGCACATGCCACCAGCTATTTTTTTCTATTTTTGTAGAGACAGGGTTGTGCCATGTTGCTCAGGTTGATCTCAAACTCCTGGCCCCAAGTGATCCACCTGCCTCAGCCTCCCAAAGTGCTAGGATTATAGGAATGAGCCACCATACCCAGCCTAAAAGCATGTTTTGAACACTTCTTTTTTATGATGCATATTTAATTATTTTTAGCAGAAAAAGAAATATTAAATTTCTGTATGAAAATTTTTATAACCGCTTTCTATGTTATGTATGTATATGTATTTATTTTTGTAATTATGTTTGTACCAGCCTGGACAACATAGCGAGACCATCTCTACAGAAAGTTAGAAAAATTGGCCAGGTATGGTGGTGTGCATCTGTACTCCCAGCTACTTGGGAGGCAGAGGCAGGAGGATTGCTTGAGCCCAGGCATCAAGGCTGCAGTGAGCTATGATGGTGCCACTGCACTCTAGCCTGGACGACAGAGTGAGACCCTGTCTTAGGGTTAGGGTTAAAAAAGAAAAGTTTGTTCAGTTATCAAATAGTGACCAATTTGTATTCAGAAGTACACTAATACAAGTTTAAATTTTTCAGAAAAATCAAAACCCAAGCAGTGATAACATAGTCATGTGATACTTTTTTTTTCCTTCAAAGATCACAACATATTTATTTAAAGACCACCACTACTCTAGTAAAGTATATCTTACATTTTTCTTTTCTACTAGATCACTAAGAAAATGTAGATTACCCTAACTTTTGAGATTGACACATGAAAAATAAGTATATCTTAACTCTCATTGTTGAACTGAATGGATATGAATATGAGCCAGTATTTTGGTTTTTATATGTTTAGAAATACTGGCCATAGTTCTGGCTCAGTGGCTTCTGTTGGATTTTTATTTTCTTCAATCCACATTAAAGCTAAGTGAGATAAAGTAACACATCCAAGCAATTAAAAGACAAAACAGGATTAGAAACAGCAAATTATAATGAGCAGGGGGATCAACTCTGAAAGAAGGAAATGAAATAAAAATTCAAGAATAGAATATAGTGAAAACAAGTACTTTTGGGTAGCTGAGTGGGTAAATGTAACACTCTAAAGAAGAAAGAACAGGTCAGGCGCAGTGACCCACACCTGTAATCCCAGCACTTTGGGAGGCCACGGTGGGAGG